TGATAACCATTTCAAGCTGGGTTTTTGCATGGATTGTTCCTCATCATTTTACAACAGGTAACCCTGACCCCCAAATGCTTCTGAATCTTTTTTTGGGGGGGGAGACCCTGTTTGGACATGTGTGAGTCCACACAATTGTCCTCTTTCCCTTCATTGTGAGGACTCCCTTTTTTGGAGGTCCACTCTACACTATGCTACTACATGCAGACTCCAAACAGTCCTTGGAGATTGAAAGTGTGGAGCCCTCGTCTGTGTGCCATGGCCAGACATTGTAGAAGGGACATATTTTAGCAATTCCTAACCAGGAACATGTCTGTGATGTCACAGCAATAACCAGGAACATGTTAAGACCATGTTAAGAGATAACATGCCTCTCAAAAATATGATTGGTAAGTTGAAAACAAAATATCTAGTTTAGTTTTTGTGCCGAGTAAAGGGCATAAATGGGGACAAATGCTGCCAAAAATTTGTCACAAAAAGTGATAAAAACTTGCCTTAATCTATGTGTTTTCACTTCTAGACAGCAAAATGCAAAGGGAACTCATGAAAATAACTGAAGTTTCTCTTCAAAAGTTGCAAATGTTAGTAGAAAACATATAAATACCAACCTTTTAATGTTATAAAGGTTGGTCAGGGGGTGTTTTGTGAAGACAAACCAGACAGCAGGATTTTAATCTTTTTTGTTTTTGAACATTGGTTTTTCTAACTTGCCGATAAACTTTTTTGGTTGCTCTGAAAACTTAGGGTCAGTTGGCGAACCGAAAGAACAACTACTTTGTTGGCTTAAAGGTAGCCCACACAAAAGAAGAAACAAATGGTTACTCCACCTGACAGAGGCAAGCACAAGGAAGCAGACGACACTGTTGATGAACATGATTTTCATTCAGTATTCAGCATGTTTCTCACCAGTGCTGCTCTCTTTTCGCATACATGTACATTAAAGAAGAAAATATCTCTTTGATTTGCTGCATGTAACAACAAATTTTGAAATGTATAATTCAATCATCTGAGGAGGCCACAAAAATTGTCTGTTTATTTCCCGCCATGTTGAACCGGTGCTGAACCAACTCCATCCACTGGTTCTCATTCGGTCGGAACAATGGTGCCACAGAGGTATAGAAAAGTCAAACCTACCCAATGACCAAAGCTAAAACAAGTTCATGATTTGTCCAGAAGTCACTCCAGCACATTTAAATATTTGTGTATTTATTTTATGCACACCTGCCAGGATTTGTGTGCTGGGATTTATAATTCTATTTGTTTGAAGTACTCAATCAACACAGCCTTAGTATATGGACATGATGCACACTTTATCACCAACCTAATAATTGTGATGTCATCAGCATTGTTGTTCGCGATATGTTGAGCTATTGATATTTACATGTTGATCGAAAATGTTATTCTCAGGAACACTAAATGCTCAAATTAAATGAAATTTTGATAGATTTCATCTTCTTAGTTCACTCAGCCCTATTCCAGCTAAGATGATTGATAGGTTGTCCTCTTTTCCCAATCCTCCTTTTCATCATCATCCAACAAAGGCATAGTTTGCCCGTGGTCTCCTACTAAAATTATATGCAGCAGGTGCCTCTCCCACTTACCATTACCAGATAGGGATGTTGTCAACCCAAGTCATTTTCGGTCAGCTATCAGGGCGTTGACACCCCCAGGCATTCCTTTCAGTACAGCTGTCGCTACACTACCTTGCCAGACCTCAAGGCCCTAGCTAGCCAGTCTGAATTTTGTTGAAGCATAATACGACTGCTGAAGCACCATCTGTTTCCGATCATCTCCAAGAGTCTTTCATTGGTCACATGATCAAGCCACTTGATGTTGAGCAGATGTCGCCAGAGGGTAGGTCGAAGCTATCCAGGTGGTTGATGTTGATCAGGTGCTTTCAACAACAGGTTGGCAGCTCCATACATCACCCTGGACACAATCAGTGCCCCAGTCAGCTGTATCTTTTTACTTATAGACTGACGTGGTGGGAATGCAGGTATTTACATTGTCAAAGTATTGATTTGCCCATACTTTGGCGCACTTGAACTTCCTGTCGTCCAGCACGTGGTTGATCGTTACACCCAGATACTTGAAGGACGTAACACTAGGCATTTGC